TCATTCTTTTAGCAGTAGTGGAGTGAGCATGGCTCAGCCAGGTAGCGCAGAGCTTTGGTTCTCTTTATGGCTGCTCTAAGGAATGAGTGGGCAAAGCATTTAGTTTAAAATTGATTATATGGTGGGACCAGCAGTTAGCGTAATGACTATGTAGCTTGACTCCCATGTAGTCGACAGCGGTTCGAGTCCCGGACCCGGTGGCTTAAAACTCACGCCGGGCGCATGTGCATGCGTGCCCAAGATCCCGAGAGGGGAATGGAGGAGAAGGGATTGCGGCGTGGCCATCCCCCCTGGGGGGTATTTCTCGCTTTCTATCTCTCTGTCTCTTTCTGTCTGTCTGGCGAGTGCACGCGCCTTATGACAAAAAACCTCTCCGAAAAAAAATGGATTATATGGTAATGTGCCGTGTGGTAGGTTTATTATTTTACCTTAAAAGTTGCCTGAAAAGAAGCTAATGCTTCTGGTGCCCTCTATGACCTTAAGCCCCTTCAACAAAATTGTGAATTCGGCTCTTTAGGAGCTTTTTTGTCATGCAATTTGCCGCTTTATTAGTTTTCATAATCTGCTTTGTGTGATTGAGTATTTTCTCTGTAAAACTTAATGATTAAGTTAGTTGTGCAAGTGCCTATTCTGATTTACTTCTATCCAGTTTTGAGTTGATTAAATACTTCAGCTTTCATTGTCAATATGAAAATCCATCTGGTTAGAAATCTGTGAGTATTAAATTTTGTTCATGTCTGGAATATAGTAAAATTGCTTAAGTGACTTTCATTTCAAACATTCCCCATATGTGATGTTTATATCTTCATATCACATTTGGGGCTGTAGCTTTTACTCAGGAAGTTTTATTACTGCCCTATTTGTACTTCTTTGGGTCTAGAAAATGGGATGGAAACCTATCTTCTTCACCTTATTTTCTCTTTGACACAGTAGGTGTACTAATTTTGTTAAGTAGATGCATCAGTAAAGGAGAAGCGGAAAGATAGCGGTTTATATGATCAATCTCCTCTTGGGATCTTGGGCACACATGCACACGTGCCTGGCGTGTGTTTAAGCCACTGGGTCCAGGACTCAAACCGCAGTCGGCTACATGGGAGTTCAGCGACATAGCCTTATGCCAACTGCTGGTCCCTAAACTTAGAAATTTTCTACCTCTTTCCTTTCATAGTCTCAGACTACAATCATCTTTTTTCTACATCCAAGTCTTACTCAGTCTTGAAAGTATAGCTCATGTTTTCTTTGTATCTCTTGAATTCCCTTCGTCTTTCTCAAGCCCTATCCAATATTTTCTCTTCATCCTTTGAAGACCTGTAGCACTTTTATCTGTACCTGTCTTTGGGTAGTTATTGAATATGGCCTTGGGTTGTAGTTATTTACATTCATTTTCTAGCACTCTGTCTGCTTGAGTCTGGGGCTGCCTGCCATGTCTGAGTTTCCCCTCTGGTTCCCACAGTAAGTGCTTGGTATTCATCGACTGAAGACTGGAAGGACCTACACTTTTCAGCATGTGTAGGAAGGCTGGTACAGCGTAAGCTAACTACTCTATAGCTTAGACGGTCTATTTAGTGAGGGAATTCGGTGACTAGACCCAGCCAGGGTGGCACACTCTGGGTAAGATGCTGCTGAAGCCACATCGGAGGCCCAAGTTCAGTTCATGGCCCAATCTGAAGACTGGATGTGGTGGCTACAACCTCTGCGTCCCAGCTGCTAGAGAGGCTGAGGCAGGAAGATTGCAATACTGTGAGGCCCTGTCAAAAAAAAAGAGTTCAGCAAATTAAAAGATTGATTAATTTATTTCCTCGCTCAATTTTTTTTTTTAAGAGGTTTTTGCTGTAGGGTGCTTATGCTTGCCAGAAAGACAGAGAGAGACAAACAGAAAGTGAGAAATCACCCCCTAGGGGGAATGGCCATGCTGCAATCCCTTCTCCTCCATTCTCCTATTGGGATCTTGGGCACACACGCACACACACCTGGCGTGAGTTTAAGCCTCCAGGTCTGGGACTCAAACTGCGGTCGGCTACATGGAAATCAAGCGACATAGCCATTACACCAGTTGCTGGATCTGTTCCTCGCTCAGTATTTAACTACTGTGATAGATGGGCATTGTGATAGACCTGGGAATACAAGGGTGGCTATTAATGACAGAGTTCTGGATGCAGAAGAACAAGTCTTCACCTTACCTTTGAAACTGAATTTAGAGGAGACTGCTGTTATTTAAGTAATGTTCAAGGAACAGTCTAAGTGTCTGCAGACCTGGTTTCTAATTGACAACTACTATTTGTTCACGGTGCTCCTTCTAAGCATTAACTTTTTTTTTTTTTTTAGAATTATTTTATTTATTTATTATCATTATTTTCCAATGTGATCAGAGAGAGAGAGAGAGCGAGAGAGAGAGAGAAAGAGAGAGAGCAAGTCACCAGCTCTGGGACTTGAACTGTGTTAAACCATGTGGGAGTCCAGCGCCTTTAACCACCATGCTACCTGCCGGCCCCTCAGCATTAACTTGGATGAAGACAGGCATACTTGGAATTCTCAAAGCATTTATTGCCAGCGAGATTACTTCTTTTTAATTTTTTCTCAATATTCCTTATCAAATATTTTAAAAAGTTTATTTTTTCTAAGTGAGTAGTGAGTAGTGTCTGAGTGAGTAAATAAAAAAGAGAGAGAGAGAGAGTGGGGGAGGGGTAAGCACCCCAGCAGCGTGGTCACACTGCAGTGCCCCCTGGCTTCAGCCAGCCTGTATTGTAGGCATGTGTGCATATACCTAGAGGGCAGGGAGCTCCGTGATCACATCCTGGGGCATTCCCCGTGGACCCTGATTACCCCAGTGCGACCATCCATCCTGTTGGATTTTATTGTGGTCTGTACGTCCTTTAATGCACCCAAGGCTGAATCCTGAATGTTGTTCAAGAGCTTACAGCGGTAAGCCCTACATACCCACTGTGTGCTGAAGGGTGTCAGCAGGGAGGTGCACGCGCCACCTACATGTAGATGGTGGTGTGCATGTGTTGGAGCAGGTCAGGCACGGCTCTTGTTCAGAGACTTTGAAACATTCTAAAGTGCCTTATAAATGACCACAGAAGATGTTAATTTTATTAGTTATTTTCGGTAATATATACCTTACTATACTCTAATTTTTTGATATGCAGTCTTTATTTATGATTAAGTAAACCAGGACACTCTACTTTTTTTTAAAGGATTATTTTATTTATTTATTTATTCATTTATTCATTTTAATTTCAGAGAGAGAGAGAGAGAGAAAGCCACCAGGTTCAGGACTTGAACTGTGCTCGGCCATGTGGGAGTGTCTAGTGCCTTAAACACCATGCCACCTTCTGGTCCCCAGGACACTCTACTTTTTTCTCTTAGTATATAACAAGCCTTTGTGATAGCTATATTTCAGTTAAAATTTAAAGATTATATCTTCTGTTTTCAGGGAAAGCTCTGAGTGATGTAGCATAACAGTGGATAGCAGAGAATGTTCATGATAGAATGCATGTATGACGAGAGAGAAGGGAGAGGAAGAGCCCCTCTGCAGGGTCTGGCCATGCTGTGGTCACCTCCCGCCAGTCCTCCAGCTCTGTGTCTTGGGCACCTGTGTACATGGGCTGTGTGCCTTAGGCTGACCAGGCCAGACTTGGAACTAGAACTGCAGTTGCCAGGTGGGCTCCACGGTTTCTTGAGAAGTGCATTACTGCCGTGCCATGGAGCCAGCCTTTATTTTCCCTCCCACCCCCGCTCTTTAAGTTTATGTACTTCGTGAGTGCAAGAGATGGAGAGAGATGTAGCACTGTCGAAGTGTCTTGACACTGCAGTCTACCCCCGGGTTTTAGATAGTCCCGTATCGTGCATGTCAGTGTACTCAGGGAGGCCTCAGGACACCAGCCGCCAGCCTTCCCAGGTCGGTCTGCCTTGCAGGACATCACACTTGACTGCCACCGTCCGGCCCAGAGCAGGGAGTTCTTTTATGTTAGGGAAA